AATTCTATTTAATATATAAATATGTAAATTTGAAACGACTCGTATCTTAGTAAAATATAAGCTTTTTCTTTTAAATAAAATATATTATAAGAACCACAAAAAAGATTACAAGTTTTTTGCTAATCAATAGTAAGAAGAATATATTACCTAAATAACACTGTTGAGAGTTGTGAAAGATGTAAAAAAATTTTCAGTAAAATATAATAATGCTAAAACAGAACTAGCTTTCTAACTGCATAGCACAAGTGGACAGTGGCTTATGCTTCGGAATCCAAAGCTTGGATTTTATCCAATGTTTAAAACAAGTAAAGTTTATTATAACTATGATGAAAGTTCATCACGATAATTTAGAAAATAACATAGGAAACTTGACGTTTTCAATAGGCGAATTTGTAAATAAACAAAAAATAGAATTGCATGTTTCTATGATAGCTTTGTAACAAGTTTAGTTATCAAATCCGCTTTTTTCCACATCAACTTAATATTTACTATTGGAAAACTTTTCTTCACATATTTTACATAAACACTTTGTTATAATCTGTACTCAATAGGCTAAACGATTCAAAAATGTACCAGCACTTTGACTTTTTTTAACACCAATGAAACATGTTTTTCATAACTACTAAGCACTTTAAGTCTCAAACCCGAATTTGTTATTAAGTGACTAAGATCTGGGCAGTTAAAATGGAAAGCTGACTAATAGTTTTGACCATTGAAAAATAATAATATGTAGTAATAATATTTAAGAAGTAGAAAGTCTACAGATGTTTTAAAAGATCCTGACGAATTGTTTCCAAATATTAGATATTCATTACAAATATCTCTGGTACATCTACAACTGTGCCCATTCAGAAGTCATTTAGTACATTAAGAAGTAATTAAACGTGGAGCTGGTCCTCCACGTCTTTGAACTATTAAAAAGCTTATTAATGCTATTAAATATTGAATAAATAAAAATGAAATAGAAATAATTCTTATTTTCCCTTTTTTTGTTTCTCGGACGAATAAATAATTATTTAAAATAGTTAAAATGCAATTATGTTATTAACAAAGGTGCCTAATTATCCTTAAAATTATCTTATATTACCTGAAATATCTTAACTTTCAGGATTTAATAAAAACAATAACTGGATTGTGCGTTATCGGAACAGCAATTCTATTTTGTTATTGAACGGTAAGTTTTTACATTAATTTAATTAGACTTATACTTATGATGAGGTTTTCCCGAGTTAGTGCAACCGAACATTTCACTCTTTCTTAGCTGGGGGGGTTTCTACAGAGTCCATCCCTTCTCTTTGACTAATTTATGTATTCCTCACAAGCTTCGCTGATTATTCGATGACTGATCTAAAATCTGCATACCGTCCCGTAAGGCTAGTGACTGCTCTAAGATTAGATAGTACTATGTAGGACAGCCTGTCAGTTTTTGCCTAAAGCTTCAGGTCTCTGTCCCTTAACTTTAATTACACATAATTTGTAAAATTTGAGTTGTGTTATTATACTACATAACAACATGGATTGCTTGTTGTAGTTGCTTGGGTGTGCAAAATCGCTTGTCCAGGATCGTTGCAATAAATCTTGCAAATACAGCAGGAAAATAGGCGATTGTGATTTTTAAAAAATTTAATAAACAAAAAATAGTTTTATAATAGTTTATAACAGGATAGGTGTAATATCCCTTTCGTTTAATTGTTATAACTAAACGTAATAACAAAATATACTACAGTGGTATAATTAATCTTCGGATGGAACTATATGTGTATAACTATATATTTTGGTGATTAAAACGGCAACTTTGGTTTTAAAGCATTTAAAATATTAGATTCCCTGTTCAAAACACATTAACCAAAGGACAGCTAAGCATAATTTCCTTTTTCAATATTGTACAAATTATTATCTGGCGATGATAACATCAAATTCAGTTTTGTAGAAATGTTCTCAGATATAATAATGTTGAAATTCCATGACCTAGCCATAACGAAGTGAATGTGTGGCAGGTGCAGGTGACCTAGCTGTAGAATTGTAAAAAACTGACGGTAATGTGCTGAATGAATCAACTAATCTGCAGAATATGTTTAGACGAAAGTATGCCCATTGATTGAAATTTTAGTACCCTCTGTCCTGTCTTGAATAAGCTTTTGTGAGATCAGCCTAATACTTGTCGTGTATAAGGTACTTTCAATTGAACTGTATAAACAGTTAAAGTCACATGTCAACTCATTGATTGGGCCTTAAATAGTGCATCTTAGGCCCAATATCTGATCACTCCACCATTAACAATATTAATACTGTAATAAATCCTGAAAAAAAACGCGCGTCTATAACATCGACACCCACCATCTTTTTATCGATCCTTTATGAAACTATCAATAGCCTCATGAGAGATCCCGTTTACCCCGCAATATCAGAACTCGGTATCCCTGCAATATTTATACGACTCTGCATTCAAGAAAAGATTGAGCCTCTACAAACTATTTGATACTGTACGAAGAGATCGCTTGGCGTATGAACTATTTAATTTCATCATAGAAGAGATAATGCGGAGAGCAAGTATTCATTGTAATAGCACAGCATTTTACATGTGTATCCAGCTTTCTGTTTATGGCGACGATATTGACATCACTGTTGCCTACATTGCAATCGAAAATGGATCTGTGAAAATGGGATTAACAGTAAATGATAGCAAAACGAGTGAAATATCGGCTAAAAGCACAAATTATCCATGCTGGTGGGTGGCGTCTATAACTTCTTGACACCGCCATAACAAAGAACAACGATGTCAACCTGGAGATCAGATTAAAAATTACTATGGTCTCGCAGACACAAAGACGCCACCTCAGAATGATGAAGCAGCACTGGGAGTATTCGAGAGAAGTGTTCTTCGTCAACTAACGTCACCCAGCAGCTTAGCTGGTTTGGTCATGTCATGACAATGAACAACTTCCTAACAATACTCCAGCAAAAAAACCTTTAAAACAACAGTTGGAAAAAGGTGTAGAGGTAGACCAAGGCTTCTTTGGACTTATTAAGTTGATGTAGCACTAAACACATTTGATGTACGAGACTCCTGAAAGCATGCATGTAATGCACCGCTAACGAAATAGCTCTGGCTCTAAAAGTTTAGATAAAATTTGTATAATAACGAAATTTTTTTAATGCAATTAATAGCTTTTACTACTAAGTCATAACAGAAAACTACCCAATATAAACTCAATTATCGAAGGAATACAATGCTTTAACGAAGGAGTTACATATCCCCTTCCGCCAACAAGCAAAGCAGTTTACTTTCATAACTTCAATATTTTTTACCATTTATTAAAATAATAATAATATGTATTAATCTATAATCTAAATTGTATTTTTATATTTTGTTTACATTTTATTTGCACCTGTTTTAGAATTTATAGAATAGGTGTGTCCGTTATTGGGATATACAATTCATTCAAAAATTTAAAACCTTTTAATTACATAAACTTTCGTAAGTTGTTAAGTATTTTGTTTATGTGAGAATACAGTCAATATTCAGCAATCTTAATATAATAATTGTAGAAAATTGTATAATTAATTGTAGAAAAATTATAGAAAATAAATTTGGTATTCATTAATTAATTACACTTAGAATTCAACTAAAATTTATTTATATTTTTTTACGTTCTACCATTACCGAATATATAAATAAAGCTTTAAGAATGCGGTTTCCTATAATATTACTGAAAACAATCAACGAGCATTAAGACTATAGACATGTTTTAAAAGATATACATAACATATAATTTATGTTCAGTCAGCAATTAAAAAGCATATTCATCGTTGTATTTAATGGTTTTTGCAAAATTGCATCCCGCTAACCCAGATTATGAAGAATGTTTCTACAGCCCGATGCACTCTAGCTAGAGCATTGGATTGTAGCAGTACTTTTTCCATTCAAACAGTTTGGAATCTAGGTCATCACAGCCATTCACTTTGAACTGATCAGGAATTTGATAACCGGCACTGGCATCAGACTCAAACGATTCCACCGCACTAAATTCGACACATTTTACGTCGGATCTCTCTATGTTACTTAAGAAACAGGTTGCTTTTGAAAGTAAATTCAAATGTGTCAAAACTTATAGAAATACTCTCACTGTCAATATTTTCTTAAGCACGAAACAAATTGCAGAAACGTCTAATAATGTAAAAAATGGAAGAGCCAAAGGACAGCAAACGGCATCGTCATTCTATTCCTTCAACGAAGAATGTTGGTTAGCATCTAAATAATTTTGATTATTTTGTGGCATATCTGACCGATATGAGCAGGATGTTGAAAAGTATTAATCAATACTTAATTATTTTTATGTTGTGTTTAAAGAATTTGTGATTTCGCATTTTTAACGAAACCAATGTTTATCTACTAGTATCTAAACTGGAAAAAGTACCATCATATAAAAACAACAACAAATTTAAATGATTTGTATATAATTTAAAAATATAAATTATATACAACCGATTTGAACCGATTCATCTTTATTACTTTAGGATCTCTTGCGCTGTTGGAGACAATCCATTTCTAGTCACCAGTGATAATTATGTAAGTCAAAATATCGAGGTTTGAGATTTGAACTAATCCCATGAAATGAACTGTCGAATGCGATCAATTGAATCTCTTGTTAATCTCACTAGTTGTTATCCACAGATCCACACAATAATATAGTATAATTGGATAAACAAAACCGTATAAATATAATAATAAATACAACATAAATAAAAGAAAAAAAATGTGTGGAAAATAATGTTTTCACTTAGAAAGAAGTGTACATATCTATTCGTACATTACAATAAAGCTTGTGGGATATGATAACGACACGTTAAATTTTTCGTAAATTAAGTATAGTTTTTATGATAAAAAAATGGGATCTTGAAAAAACTACGTAGCGCCAAATCATTTTTTAATGAAATACAAAAGAACTCGAATTTTTTAAAAGGATTTAATTTTTTATTTCTTTGACTTTTATAAAATATGTTACTATAAATTAAAGTACAAAATCTAAATATGAGAAAAATTGATTATAAATCTTAAATATCTATAAAATATATAAAATACAATAAAGTATTCAAAAATTATTACCAATTATTTAAGAAATCAAACCCTTTTCTCAAATTATTATCTTTATCCAGTAACATAACGTTTTCGCATATCGTTTTTTCATCATCATCTGAAGTTGCTACAGAAGAGGACGAGGAAGTCATAAGAGTATCATTCCTGTAATAATCCATTAAGTTAAAGCTTTCTTCATTATCAATCGATGGCATATGTATAACTTTATTCGTTTCTGAATTGAATGGTGGTTTTATAAAAGACTTAAAACATGACTCGGTTTTTTTAGTTTCGGTACTAATATTCTCTGAAAATACAGTGTATGTACCTTTTTCTTTAATTTTATCAACCTTATTCTCTTCATTTTCAGTTGTTTTCCCATTCTTCACTTTTACAATTTCAGAATTAAATGTTTGAAAACTTTGCTGAACTGCTGGTATTAAAGTTCTATCATTTCTAGTTTCAGAAACCGTTGTACTATCCGTTTTCGCTTTGGTATAATCACTAAAGAATATTGTTAAATTTATTTGTGATTTTGTGCGATAACTGAATGGACTTGAGTGTTCGTCTTCACAATTGCCGTCATGTATTGCTTTTAGCGCAACTTTTTGTAGTCTAAATGTGCGAAGGTTATGTCCATCATATCCTGTTATACTGCTTTCTTTATTTTTGACTAATATCGCGTTATTTGGTTTCGTCACATCTGTGTCATTTGGTGAAGTTTTGTCAAAATCTTTTGAAACTACAGTAGTATGTGACTCGATTGGATTAGGTTGGAAAACGATTTCAGATACATCTCGAGTATTTGTTAAATTCAATGATTTAGATGACGAATCATACAAAAAAGAAATTTCAGGATTAATTAACGTGTCATTGATTATATCGTTTTGCTCATTGTGATTTAAATTAGTCCAAACTTGACCATAGTTTGATTTTATGTCATTTATATCGCTTATAATTTTTTCTGCTAAAGGATTTAGTTGACAAAAATATTTTTGTACAGTTATTAATATACTATTATTCCCGCATTCAAACATTGTAAAACTTGTAAAATCACAGCTGAAATAAATAAAAAGAAATGTGATGTAAAGAAAAATGTATAATGCAATGGAAGAAAAAAACGCATTCAGTTCAATTTAGTTTTGAAAAAACTGATTTGAATTTGACATTAATTATATGCGACCGCTCAAAAGTAAAGACGGCAAAAAGTAAGAAGTCTTTTGCTAAAGTATCTTATCGATATATTGATATGACTGTTGCAATCTGTTAAATATTGTTTTTTTTATGTTGAGCCTTTTCCGAGTTAGTGCGTGTGGGCATTTTTACTCTTTGATAACTGGGGGTTTCTCAGAGTCCCCCCCACCCTTCTCACTGACTAATTTATGTATACCTCAAAAGCTTCGGGATTATTCGATGACTGATCTAAGATCTGCGTACCGCTCCGTGCGGCTAGTGTTTTCATAATCAGTAAAGTTTCGTATGTGCCCCAACCCAAGGCACACTAAATCTTTTATAAATTTGAAATACTTATTGAAAAATTAAAATGAATAGAGAATTCAAAACAATAACAATAATTTAGGAAATTTCAAACATTTCTGTTACATCAAAACTAATAATAGTTAAAAACATTTATGCCTTAATAAGCATAGATTTGTTAGCAATTAGCAATCTTTTTCACAATTTTTAAATTTGTAAAAGTTTTTAATTTTGTTTGAATTTATGTTTACAAATCACTTTTGACAGACGACTGAAGAATATTCGTTAAAATTCCCAATAAAAGTCCACAATAAATCGCTTGTCGCTTTGGCTAAGTAAATATGAAGTATACATCATTTGTCGTAATGGTGGACAGGATAAATTTTTGAAAGTTACATTTCAGTTAATATAATTCACCTGCGTCATTAGAATCATACGTAAAAATTCGTACAATACTCCAAAATTTAATATAAAGAAAAGAGGATCTGCTCTGTATGACATCACATTCATCTGACTATAAAGAAAACGGTATTAAGAAACAGAAATATTACTTTTACCGAAAAATATAACTTATTAATAAAATGGAAGAAATGCTCTTTCTTGAAAAAAAGCGTAGAGTTCTTAGAACAACAAATGGAGCGGGGTATGATATGGCCCATATAAGAGAAAATAACAGCAATAAAATAATTTCCTAACCTTTCCTAAATATCTAACCCATTGACTGATCTTACTAGGAGAGTTAGTAAAATGCAGCAAAGGACCTATTGCAGTTTATAACTTATTTTAAAACTTTTCAGTTCTTATGTTCCAACTCAAATTCACATTGATGCCAGTAAATAGGGCATGAGAACAAAAATTATAGTCTTGTTATATCTCAATTATCTTTTCTTAATTATAAATTAAAATCAATTGTATCCTTTAATATTTTTACAAGTTATTAGACTTCATAACAAACACTGACTTAAAATATCTTAAATAGTGCAATAGCAATCTGGGCAATGTAATTACAACATTTATACTGCAAGGTATATCACATGTCTGGTGGCATTATGCGAGACGACGACGCAGTGAATCGTTAACCTATCGTACTTCAGGTAAAGAATAGTATCATTCTCTACATTGATTAGTAATTAGAAAAAGAAAATTAGAAAAATTAGGTAAATATTGCTAAATGATGTAGAGATGTGTTATGAAATACTTTATAAATATGGAGTATACCTGTTATATGTTTTAAATAAAAAGCTTAAAGGAGAGAAATAAAAGTGTTTATTATATAAAAATTATTTTAGAAATAAAAATTTAAAAAAAACTATTTTATTTTGCTTGCGGAACAATTTTGCATTACTGTTTTTTTAAAGTAGTAGGATCATCTAAATCAATATATAGAATTTCTATTCTATACAATTGTAATACTGTAGCAATAATTTGAAAAATAAATTATCCGATGTGAATTTATGCGAATGTTAAGTAAAATATGAATTACCTTCCGCCGAACAAATTTTCACGCATTTCTGTGTATAATTATAATTAAATTTTAATGAAGTTATCTAAGGTGGTAATTACTGTATAAACCTTAATTTTTAAATAATAATCATATCAATTAACTCTCCTGTTGTATGTATGTGTTATTTTAAATTTTGTTATTATTTAAACTTATGTTAAAACATAAAGAATTATAAATTATGTATATATATTTATGCAATTATTGTTTTAAGTAATAAATCATGCTATGATGGTTTTATCTTATGAGGCTTGATAGTTTTATATATTATATAAGATTTATATAGTACTCATTATCTTCAAAATAGGTAACTTCATAATTATTTTAGATATCTTTTACTGATCTTTTTATCAAAAGAGCAATAAAATCGACAAAATTCATCGGATTATATGTACTATACAAAAAGATAATCGTTTAATAGATACACAAGGAAACGAGTCTTATTTAAATTTGGAACAGAAAAAAAAGCCTTGAAAAAACTATAACCAATTTAAATTTAAATTGACATCGTCAGTATGAAACAAGACCTAAGTTTTTGGCAAGACTACAAAAATTCATCCTAAGCAGTTTCAAAGACCCAATTTTGCTGCAAGTTTTTGAGAGCTATTTTGAGAGCTATATTGAGAACTATATTTGCTTGTGTCCCACACTAAGATCGCTCGAGAAAGGAGAATGGAATTTTATAAAAACACATCCTTAAAAATACGCCATTGGCCAAAAAAATCACTTTTCTTAAGTTTTAGAGCAATAGTTGGGTTTTTAGTAAAAAAAAAAAAGAAAAACTAACTTTAATAGATAAATAAATCAATAATAGAAAAAACTATTTGTTCAAAAAAACAAATCCAAAAAAATTGTAAATTTGTTTTTTATACTACATATATTTTTATACTATATATGAAAATAAAAAACAGAAATAAGTATTTTTAGCAGAGCAAAATAAAACGATACAAAGCATTTGGTTGTTCTTGTTGTTGTAATCTGATAGACGAGACTTCTTTTTCTTTTACTGGAAGCCAAACTGTTCGAGTGGCACGTAATTTTTTTTCTATTGCTCTAAAACTATAGCAATAACTTTTTTGGCCAGTGGCATATTTTTAAGGAGTGCGCTCACTTAAAACATCATTTTTAATTATGTTCTATGTATACCTTAATCCCACAAAGATACTACATTCACTCACCCCACCTAGTCTGTTGCTCCACATTTCCCCATAATTTCTGATACCGTATCTTCACAACTATTTTGTTGACAAGTCTCCCTTTATTGTCTCAAAAGAATGACGACTGCCTTGGTTAGTAGGTACTATTCCAATCAGGTTAAGGCAAGAAATTACCAAGCGGTAAAAGGAATCTCAATAGTAATTTGTCTATTCCTGGCATGTTCAAGTCCCAGCACTACTTATTTTGACGCCGGCTGCCAATATGCAATGGCAAGAACCCAATTAATGATGCTCCTGTGAATACTATATTTGTAAAAACAAAAATCTTATATGAAATTCCAATTAAAAATTGTATAATTTTTAAATAACATCTTACTGACAACGAATTTAGCGTTTAGTTTCCATTATAATGCAATTCCATATGCACAGATTATTTCCTAATCAGAGTATTCTGTTAGTAAAAACTAAGCTTTTCTGGGACTTAGTTCTCGATATAAAAGCGGTTATAATCGAAGGATTTAAACGGAAGTATTCTTTTCTATCCCATGCGTGCTTTTTTCCACATATATAAGGCCATTCGTCCGAATAATTGCTGTTATGCGGTTAAAGTACTTTAGAAGCAATTATCTTGCAAATTGCAAGCAAATATTTCTTAATATGTGCAATATACATAATGTATATCCAAAATCCAAAAATAGAACAGTATATAATGATTGATTTTTGTAAAATGAATTATTTTAATACTATTCTTTAACAATTTCCGAAATGACAGACATTACTGATAAGCGGCTTTTTCGATTTGATGAATGATACCGTAAACTTACAGTTAAATAACGATGTTACTTGAAGTTTAAATTAACTAGGGTACCACCAGTTTGAATCAGAAGCACTGCCATAAAATGCTACTGCGATGATTCAGATAAACAAATTATAAATATATACTTTTTATGTGACCGCGCTTAAAGTTTTTTTAATTACAAATTCTTATCCAATACATAAAAAAATTTCATACCCTGCTTACACTCGCAAGCATGGCTTGGCATATTCAATTCCCATCGAATATGTTACTTTCATGTTTTTGATAAAATAATTTGTAAAGCATTATATGGTCGATGCCGAACTTCGGTCTGCAAACATGTATGCGGTAAAATTAAAACTTTTCAATTATTTCTTGAGTCTGTACACATGTCAGCTTGTGTACATCAAGTCCTTAAACTTTTTATAAATTGTGAATTTTGATGAGCCTCGGATGAGCGAAGATCGTGGAATAAAATTATTAATTCGTGACAAAAAGAAAAACAAAAGAAAAGTAATTTTTTTGTTTATTTTGTTTAAAAAAAGCAGATTTAAAAAAGAAATGCTGCAATTGTTTAAGAAGTTTATATATATAAAAGTGTTTTTCATGCAAAAACAATTTTTAAAGTAGTTCATATATATAAAAAATTATTTTGTGAATAAAAGTATTAAAATACGTAATTTTAAAGAATTAAGTAAAAAACAATTTTAATTTTAAGCATTAAAATAAGAAATTACGTTTAATTTTAAGAAATCTATAATATTTATACAATAAAATAAATAAGAAGGGTATTCAGGCAACAGATTAGTTGCTAATAGCATTGACAGACGGGAGCTAAATTATCATTAAGAGGCTAAATTATAATTTATTTGCTCATTTAACAGTTTTAAATGATCATTTATGGTCTTTAAAAGACCGAATTTAACCCAATTTATTCATCATTTAGGTTTTTAGAAATGGTTATGCTGCATATGCAAGCGAAACGAAATAAAAAATGGAAGAAATTTCACGCTATTTGGTTGTCAAAATGTAAACAAAACATATTTGGAAACATTGGTAAATGTAAATACTCGATATATTTTTATATATTTTATATTTTTTTTATAAATTTTATATTTAATTAAAGCAAGTTTCTTTAATTTTTCTTGCTTATCTATTTTGAATTTAAAATTCTTTCTTTTGCTTTTTCAATAACAAAAAACATATGATACACCAACTTCTTAATGATAATTTATACCGTCTGTCAGGGTATTTTTAAAATGATCATTTAAGGCTGCTTAATGATAATTTAGTGCGTTCGTCTGTCAATGCTATAAGCAGATTAAAAAACTTCATATACGACCCAAAATGCGCAATCTGATTATTTTGTTCTGTGCAAATGCCTTGGAAGCACTCGTATCAACGGCAAAAGCGAAACATATGTTTACAGTGAAATACTCAAATATTTGTAAATTTTAATATAATTTAAATTTATCATATAACTAAAATTGCAAATGTGTCATATACCAAGAAGTAGAATATTCAATTTTATACTTTTTAATTATATTTTTTTCTTTTAAAAATTATAGTTTTACTGAATTTAATTTATTAATTTATGTTATTATTATTTAATTTCCTTTTTGAGACACTCTATGACGATAGCGCCGACACTCGGTACTGACACACTAATAATCAAATTTTCGCTAATCTGAAAATCTCCGAAATAGTAGGGGTATTCAGGCAACTGATTCGTTGCTTAGTTGATTCAAAAACTTCATATAAAAAAAATTTAGCATTTTGATGTTAATCAGTTGCTTGAACGACCCAAAATGCGTAATCTGATTAGTTTGTTGTGTGTAAATGCCTTGGCAGCACTCGCATCAACAGTAAAAGCGAAACAGTGAAAATTGTTTACACAAAATTCAAACAGCTGAGAGAGATAGCTAACAAATTTCTATACAAAAGTTCATTTTAAGTTATTATTACGACACTTGGGACTGGCAGCACTATTAATCAAATTTGTACTAATCTGAGAATCACCGAAATAGTTGATTCCCTGTTTAGTTTCATTTTTGTGTGCAAATTTTTGTTGTAATCAACTACTAAGCAACTAATCAGTTGCCTGAATATCCCTAGTATATTCTCTGCTTAGTTTTTTTTTGTATGCAAATTTTTGTTGTAATAATCTACTAAGCAACTAATCTGTTGACTGAATACCCCTAATAAGTTGCTATCTTATTTCTGAGCTTTTCTATAAGGAGTGCCGGACGTTTTCACCACAATGCATCAGCAAAGATAGCTTCTCAGTCTGAAGAAGTTGTGAACCTTCCTCTGGATGCGTGTCATCAGCATTTGGCATGTATGTGAATAATATTAGAGCTGCAGGATTTTGCTTCCGCTCTACCCTGATGGTGGTGATATCTAATGATCTTAAATGAGAAAAGAGAAAATTATTGAGGTGTGTTTTTATTAAAATGCACTATCTAGCATTACATATGTCTGTTAACATAGAAAAGATTATACCCGTTGATGTTGAGGTCTTTGACATATGAACTATGAGCCCAGGGCTCTTGGATGATGTCAAGCTCGATGTCCTCCTTTCTAAATAAGAAAATCAGATTATCCGTCGAATATTTAAAGTATTTTAGATTTATTTGCTCCATCTTGACCATAAGCGCATCAATAGAATTTGCTATCAATGATGAGGTCATCTACCAACCAGTGCCAGTACCCTCCATCTTATTCAAAATGTTGTCCGTTGGTGCATTTTTCGTTATGTTTTTGCGGATGCTCCATATAGAGAACCGACCAGTCTTCCATCTAGATTTTTCAGCTTCAGTTGCTGCAGAATAAGGTCCGGGGGTCAAGATTTTTAGGCAACCAAAAAGGCGCTCGAGGTCTCAATGAAATTTCTGCAGCAGGGACAGCTTAAGCTTTCAACCACCACAGTTCTCACAAATCTTAATGATCGCCATGTAAGGAAATTCATCGAATACTTATCGTCGCATCTAATCACCCGGTAACCTTGGATCACATATGTGCAGTCGGAGAATGGAACAACCCAGAATTGGTCATGAGCTCGGACATAACCAATTCGGACAATTTGGTTTCAACCAGCACCCATTTCTCCATCAGCATTTTGCCATTGGCCATCAGCATTTGCCATTCGTCGATCAATGCCACACTGAAATGATCTCTCTCCACTTTACCGAAGGGACTTGAGCATAAAAAGCGCACGCTGATAATGATTTTTTTGTGCCCTGCTGGTCGTTTTTTGCACGAGTTCAACTTACCCTTTCTGCTAAGAGTGCTAAGGATGGAACTTAATTCTTCCTGATCTTAGCTAAGCACAAACATGACAACGTTCAGGACGACAATGTTGTGTGTTCCATCCCAGGCGGCACCCTCGTGAAGGATTCAGTAGAAGAATTTTTGCCACTTGCAAACCCACATAGGTCAAATTGATACAGATGCCTGCTTATCGTAGAGTCTTCTTATCTTTTGTTAAAAAGTTCGGTATAGGAAGAACTCAGTACCAGTTTGCATAATGTCGTGTTCCGATTGGTTTCCTAAAGCACTCCGTTTGGCTAGTTTCTGTGCTTTGCAATTGCTGAAAACATCCCTATGACCGGGAACCCAGATTAGAGAAATATTGAACTGAGTCGACATCTCATTTAGTGATGTGTAGCAGCCAAAGACTGTCCTAGATGTAAATTAGACTGAGCTAAAGGATTTAAACCGGCTTAACTGTCTAATAGTATGTACCAGTGACGACTGCTCTAAAGTGCGGAGGTGTGCGGCGCACACCCTAAAATAATTTGCAAATTGTTAAATAATATATATAAATTTATTAATTATCTTTACACCAGGAATTAATATTGTTTATTACATTTTTATACATATACTAGATCTAACGCAATAGATGGAGTGGTGCACAGAACACCATTAATGCAGAATTCAAACGATGACGCTATATAAAAGTATTGGTCTAGTGACAGCCGTATATAATTATTGAGTAACACGAGGATGTTATCCTCACCTTTTACCAAAAGCTTTCTGACATTCTTAGCGCGCTCTCAAATACTTTTCTTCCAACTAAGTTTTCTATCGAAAACAATACCTAAAAATTTTGTTAAATTTTAAATTGTACCGCAGAACCTGGAATATAAAGTGGAGAAAGATTGAGAGAAAATCGAGATGTGTACAAACAGGAATTTTGCTGCAAATTATATTAAAAAGTCAACTATCTGACTCAATGCTTTAGCACTGGGGTATTTACATCAACTTGTAAAAAAATAATTTGGTTACAGATATACAGAGTGTAATGAAAGTATGAAGAAATATTTCTTCAATTATTATCCATTATCACTTTTATCCATTTCACTTTTAAAAAAATGTTCTCGGAAATGACGGTATTGAAATGGCATCATCTAGCAATAACAAAATGTATATGTGGCAGGTCCAGATGAGCTACCTGTAGAATTCTAGAAGACTGAGAAGAGGAAAAGAACATAGGCACGCGCTATTTCTTCACTGAAGATGATCTATTGAAATACGTGGATAACTAGGGCAGCGCTCTTAATGTCAAGGTAGTGGAAAGGGCTGAATCTCCAGAAAACCGGGTAGAACGATGAGTGATGATGATTGATATGGATATAACAAGAAAAAGCACCACTACAGAGCTGCATCTAGCAGTTTAATGCAACATTTTAACAATGATATCGATGCTATAGTCCTGCCACAAGAGCCTGGGTATGCCGTTACCTTGTATGCGGACTCAGGATTAAATATTATGAAATAACGTTTGTAGTAATAAGGGTAAGCCAAGATCTTAAACACTAATTCATAAAAAATATGTTTTTATTCTTCCCCAATACAGCAATTAAGATCAAACTGAAGTAATCTTTGTATATTTGTGCAGCTGACAAATGGCGCTCAAAAACGTAAAATATAGCTTCTAATACTAATCAAGAGAGTGAGTTACTTTTTGACTTTATCTTAAGAAACAACTTTTTTATATGTAGCAATGACAGTAAGCCAACTTTTATTTCTAGAAATAGGCAATGAAATTTTGGATATCACAATTACTGCACTAGGCACTTTTTCTCAGATCAGTTGCTTTCAGAATTTACTCTTGCCATAAATACATCAGATGCCTACAATTTGAAAACTTTCAGGTCTCAATAAAACAAATTGAATAAGACAAAGTTTTTTTGGAATTCTGATAATTTTATAAACTATTTCAATGGTCTCAGTTTGGACTTCTGATTGCGAAAGCGTTTATGAAATTCATCAAATTTGGAATACTATTTTAGTGCTTCGATCAAAAGAAATTAGATGGACATAATTACTTTCAATTGTATGACGTCCTGGTCATAACACAAACAGTTAAATTTTTCGCTCTTAGGAAATAAATGAAAAAATAATGCTTTGCTGGCAGAGCAAATGTTGTTAATAGCACTGCGTTTTTACGCAATTGAATGTATGCTGCGTGTCAATGGTGATTTATTTGGGATTTCAGTAACTATGGCATCGAAAATAGTTACAACTGAATTATATCACATTGCGAAACAACGGTTGAACTTTATTTGTTTGCCTAAAATTAGAGATGAATTGCCTACACACTGGCAGGTAAAGTTTTATCAAATCGCAATGTTTTCTCGAGTAATTGCTGCTATGGACTGCAATCATGTCAAAATAATTACAAGTTGATTTGGAGTAAAAAAAAAGGAGAAATAAATATTTTTTATCATTAAGCTTGGAAACTTTATGCAACAACGAACTAAAAAAACAAGACATCGTAATTCGTTGGCCAGGCTCTACAAATGATTACGTTATATATTATAAATCAAGAGTGGGGTGTCTATTAGAACATAGAATGTTGGCTGGTTGTTGTAGACAGTGATTAGAGAAATAGCAACTATGTTATTATAAAACCTGTTAAATGAGTCCACTATTCAAATACACAATTGTGTAACGTATTCATATGGCATATGAAAGCACCGTTTTCCAGTGTTGTCTCTCTGGTTGAGAACGAGAATGAGAAAAAAAAGTGTAATTATTGCTACAGCAGTCTTGCATAACGTTAGTTGTTTAAATAATGATACTGTTGCGCCATCTTTATCTGACGACAAGGCAACAGCTATATCGAACAACCTTGCTGTACCCAACAATAGAATGGTCGATAATGGAAAATCAACTAATTATACATGAACACATATAGATCTGTATTTCAGTAATTTAATATAACAAATTAAATAAAATATATATCAATATTTTTAACAATATAATGAATCGTTCAAAATTTTAAGAAGCTTATTTCAAGCTCTAATTTGTGCATTTTTAATTTCCGGATTTTTTCCTTTTAGTTCGCTTCGGTTTGCCTTATACGCATTTTCAATACATACCTATATGCTTTTCTTCCATTTGCTCCATTGATTCACAAGTTCTGCCTTCATAAAAACTTGCATTTTTCTTCAGTTTACTTTTATTTGTACCATATCTGGAAGAGAAAACCAAGAAGTAACTTTTGAAGTCCTCTTCTATCCTCTTAAAATGGGGTAAGTTGGTTTTTTTAGTTGATTTGGAATAAAGCTTTCCTAATTGTAATTCACTAAAAATAAATAATATTGAAGTAATATAAATATGAAAGAAAAATTACGTACAACTTTTACCTTTCTGAACATGCACCCATTTTCGTATTTTTTTTTAGTGACAGCATATTTCTCAGAACAGTTGCGTGGGAATTAAATTCATTGCTTATTTTTAACCAAATAGTATGATCACTTCGCCTTTAAATTTGACAAGGACGCAGACTTTTTTGCTTTAAAAATTGTTTTTATTCTCGTTCGTCTCACTGGATTGTCAATAACTTAACAAATGCCAAAAATAACCGCTTCAGTTTATTTGTTAACAACTCCACATACTTTATTATGCATCCACGCTGTTACCTCATGTATAATTTTTTTTTGTAAAATAATTGTTAATTTATTGTGTTTAAAATTCATTATTGTTTTTTTGGTTAAAATAAATTAGGAAACAGATACAATTTAAGTAAAAATGATATAAGTCATAAACGCAGACTTTTTCTATTATGTGTACATAAATGGATTTAAGTTTCTTATTTACTAGTAATTTTGTATATAACGAACAGCATTTTAAAAAGATTTTGTATCAAAAATTTATAATTTGTATATTGTATATTGTATGTGTAGTTTTTCATAAAATGTTTTATATATAATTTCATTTTGTGTCACATCTATAGGTCTGATATCATATATAATGTTATTGCTCCAAAGCACCCTATGCAATTCAAACTAAATTTTCAACTTGTATGGCAACATGCTACAAATTATCGTTTTGTTCATGGAAGTGTTTGTGGTAGATATTGTGCAGTGCGGTATTTAATTAAAAGTCTTGATTTCGTACTCCTAAAAATGCAGCTTGTTATTAACATTACTGCAGAACATAAAGAAATTGTAAATAATGCAAAAAATCTAGGATATGTGATTATTTTATCGAAACTTAAATAAATGTACTTTTCTGTGTAGTAGTTGTGTATACCACCTAAAGATTATAATTCGACGAATATATTGGAAGTAAGAATATTTTAAATTAAATATAATATCAAGAATTGTAGAAATAATTAAAGAAAAATAATGTTTTTAACAAAAACCATGTATTAAACAAATTATCAATATACAGCATTCCAAAATATTGTTTTCCAATAATATTTCCAGTGGCTTGTGTATGTATCACACAAAATTTTCATTCGCCTGTGTAGTTCGTTTCGCCGTGGTAAATAGTGGCGTATAAAAAAAAATGGGATATAAAACTGTAATGCACCAGTGTTTCAGAAATAAATTTTAAATAATTAAAACTTTCTTTCTTTAAATCAAACTAATATGTATTAATCGCAGCTATTTAACAGCATATAAATGCTGTTTTTCACTATATGAAAAAATAAATTATTGGCTTCCAGTCGTCATTTCAAAGTGTTTGTTCAACGCATATAATAAATCCTAAGCTCAATTTTATGAGTACTCAATAGTGCTATACAATTTTAAATAATTCTTATTTCAATATGTACCGTTTTTGTACACATAAACTAACTAAATGCCTCTTATTATTTATTAATAAAACAATGAAAGTGAAATAAACTAACAAACTTTACATTTTTGTATACAAAACAGTACAATATGATTTATGAACCCATTGTCCCGTACGGTATGTGTACTATAAAAATATCATTGCGACTTCAAAACTAAGATTTGTTCTTTAATGGTCTTTGTTTAAAAAATGAACTACAAATAATCGGCTTATATAAAGTTAAAGTAGAATATCTGTTTATATAGAATGCTTAACAGATCGGATATTTTAAGTTCACTTTTGTCATATTAAAAATACATATAAAATTTGCATTTGAAAAATTTAAGTGATAAAAACTATTACCAAGAGTAAGTTTTGGTCTTTTACAATGTGGTTGTGTATAGTTCTATCTTAAATAAAAGTTAAATGCAGTAAAAACCATAAGCTAAAAATATTTTGTAAGAAAAGCCTAAACATTTAGCAGTTCAATTTCGTAGGTCAAGATTATTAATACTTATTCATTCGAGAATAATTAAAACATTGGTTCCATATAATTGGGGAAAAGACACAAAAGCTGAACATTATAAACGTAGAAAAAGTGTTATTGTTATTAAATATACTTTTGCTAAGACTTGAAAATTTTTTGTTATAAACTTTAACATTTGCTTAGCTATGGATTTTTTAAAAAAACTGTTTTTTTTGTATATATTTAAACATTAGTGAATAAGAGTGGGAAGAATTATATAGTCCCAACATGTCTAGTCTTTGATTATTTATATATATTTACGTTTAATAATTTAAGAAATTGTCCAATAAGTCCATTACAATTGTGAAAGATTTTGTTGACGTGTTGTATATCGATACTTATGATCGAATATACTTTGATGGTAATGTTGTATATGTAGTTCCTTATCATCGTAGAAAACTAGACATACGGGGATACTAACCATATATAAATCTGAAATAATATATTTTGTGTATATATTTTAACATAATCTAATAATTATTTGCAGGTTCCAAGAATTTTGGGTATTTCGATGTGTTATTAAATATATTTAAAAGTTGTCTTATATATAAAAAATGGATGATCAGCACAAGTTCGTAAAACCAACAGATATTCCAAACAAAATATCATCAGACTTTTACATAGAACATAAGCCTGTTTTAAAATCCAATACCCACTCGCATCGAAGTCCGGCATCAGAATTTTGTATGACACGTTGTAGTACTATTTATAACAGCAGTTCAGGTGATACGAAAGAATGCAGTTTAGAGTTAAATCGTAGTATTAAAATATCATCAGAATATGCATTGCCTTTATTGACATCTTCGCCATCAATGATATTAAATTGTAGTAAATTGAAGAAAGAGGAATGCAGACGCAAATACCAACTTTCAACAATTAAGAAAAAGAATAATAACAGTATCGAGCAAGTGAAGCATCGAAAATGTCATTATGATTCAAATAACTCTTTATATATGACACCATTTAAGTTAAGTCAACGAAAATATGTCAAAAATATAGTCAACAGTAGGAAGATATTTCATACAGTGGTATCTATATTCTCCCAATTGACATTATTAAAAATAAAAACAACAGATAGAAATATGCACAAAAACAATTCTTCATCTAACAAATTAGCAGCACGGAGGAGATTTCATTTACTTCCGAATTTGGGAACAACGTCTTTTTTCACTCTGTTAACATTAGTATGCTTGGAAACAGTTTTATTGTCGACTGTATCAACGTGTGCAAAAACATTTTATATGCACTGGAATACATCAAATAGCATGTAAGTATAAACATTTTATTTTAAATTTTAAATATTTTTCGAACAGCTCAATGCATGTGCAAATAAGTCCAATAAAAACAAATTTCAATAAAAAATAAAATAAGTATAAATTCTATTTAAAATGGAATAATATTTCACTAAATTTAATTACAATTTTTGAACAATTAACAATATAGTTGCGACTTTTACGCAAAAGTCTTTAACATGCTCTTCTTAAAGTCGTCTATTTTTTATGATTTTTTTATGATTTCATATGCAAAATACATAATACACATACATTGTAATGTGTAAGTTTGTATGTCTATATGCTACGTAGCATAACGCACTTTTATATAGAATAGTATCAAGTTAGCTACAGTTAAATGAAATAGTCTTATGTAGGGTGAAATGGTCTATGGTATATATGCATGCATGCGTGTGCTACAACCATTTTTCTTGGACTGTGAAAAGTTAAATATAAATGCGTAATTGAGGGTGGTTTTTATTATTTTAGAATATTGTTGCGAACATTACAGTTATCGTCATCACGTCATATCATATGTTATTCGTGGTTTACCGGCTGGTGTTGAGTTTGTTGATCTGATTTCTGTTCTTTCGGGGCAAATTGTTGGTCATGTAGTAACAAATACATTTCATACGTTTTCTATAATGCTGTCAACACAATTTTTCCACATCATTCATGTGGTTTGATTATAGGTGCAAATTATTTCACGATAATTTTAGCAGTAATAAGTCTGCAAAGGGTTGAATAATATAATATAAGAACGTTGACATATTCATACCTTCTTGCAGAATTTATTAAACATATTTAAACTAAAACAATACAAAATAAATTGAGCTACAAAACATAAGAAGTTTTTTTTTAAAGAAATACAAATATTTTAAAAAATACAAAACTCTTTTTTCTTTTGTAGTAATCATTCTTTGTAGTTTTAATATAAATTTTTAGCGACCATATATGACAAGTCAGTGATAAAAGGAGTTAAATTTATGTTTACCTTTAAATTAATTTTTCGACACAATCTTCAATTAATTTTGACTATACAATATACCTGCACCAATGGTTTTCTTATTCTTTTTATACAAACTGAAAATTAGGGTTCTATGATGAGATATTTAAAATATATATTGATGCAGAGCGTTATATTGGAAATAAATAAAAATCAGATAGACCCAACTCTTGTAAATACGGTCGATGTATTGGCACCTCTAAGGTACAATAATTCGACCTATTTTGCTGTTGCAATTATTGACGAATAAGGTCGTGCTTCACTTTACAAATATATTATTCAGTCTAGAGATGTGGTTATGGGTTTCTGGTACGTTAGAAACTTTAACCTGAAAAATTTACTGTCGAAAAAGAAAAAAATCCTTTTAATTACTTATATAGACGAACATAATTATTGGCACAACGAGCATATTGAACTTCAACACGGTTTTCACCGCGTTAATTCAGCGATTTTTAAATGACAAATATTTTTTTTAGATAAAATGTTTAATTTGCAATTAAATTCATTTTATTTCATTATATCATTTCTTACAATAATTTCCTACAATTAAAATATAAAAAAAAGTACTAAATAATGTAGAACAAAATTATTGGTATAAAATGTACCAAGTTTTAAAAAATAAAAAACAAATTTTAAAAAATATTTAACGTAACAATTAATATTTAGTGGCGAAGCCCTTTTGTTTAATAAAAGCTTCTAGCCGCCTTGGTATCGAAGAAACCAATTTTTTGTGTGTTTTCTGGCCCAAAATTTTACCTCTATTCAGGCATTGTCACCTTCAGTTCTGCTTTTGTTATAGCGCGGTTTTATAGACCGGTATTCAATTGTTCCCATAAAGTTTTTATGGGTTTGAGATCTGGCGATTGGGTTGTAGGTGACAATGTGTGTTTTATATGATGCGCGAGCCAAATTTGTACATCATAAGCCGTATGTTTTGGGTTATTGCTATGTCGGAAGATAAATGTGGCAGGTAAACTCAAGTTTTTGGCACATTTTTTTGGCTTTTCTCTTGAGAACGTCTGTATAATATTTTTTCTCCCATAATGTTGTCAATGAATTCCAGTTCGTCGACATCTGCAACGGTCACGTGACCCGGTATAACCACCATGTTTCACAGACATAGTAGAAAAAAAATTTTTTTTTTTGCAGTTCTGTAATTAGTTTTCTCAAAACCGTTTGGCCGCCATTGGATCGAAAGAAATAGAAGTTTCTTTCATCCGAAATGATTACATTTTTCCAAAAGTCAATTGGCTTGCTTAAGTATGGGCTAAATACTTCTATTGGTTGTCATTTAAAATTAACAGTTTTTGCCTATCAACACGTCAACTGTAATTAGTTTTATGTAGTGTCCTCCTGACCGTTATGAGATTAATATCCTTTCCAAACTCTCGTTTATCCTCTGCTGCGATAAGAATATTTTTAGGTTGATCTTCACCTTTCTTATTATGTTGCTGGTTTTCTATCAATTATTTCCCCAATATTGGCATAAGATTTGTCATGATTGTGCAAATATAGAATTATTTTCCGCTGAGATTCGGCGGTTTCTTTATGCTTACTGTTCATTTTGTTCAAAATGGATTAAGTTTATATTATTGAAGCACTATGATGTTCACTTTTGCAGTATTAAGTTTTAAGTGATAATTGGATTTTTCGTTGTTTTCTTTTAATAGTCCAAATTATATTCGTATTTCTTATTAAATGGCACTCTAAACTAATTAAATGTTATTGGGTATCCTTATGTACGTGAAGACCCCAACTATTCTGCTTAAAATGAAACCTCAAATTGTAACATAAAGTTTTTAAAATTAAACAGGAAAAGTGATATAGCATTTACAAATAATATAAACACCATAAACCGGGATCGGGAAGATCCGTGACACAATTTACGACTGATGGAAGATATTAACATCGTTTTAATACTTAGCAAGCTGTAAAAATCACATAGTAGCGGATAATTTTTTGTGCAATCTATTTCTTCCAAAATTTCGGTCGCTCTGTTATATAAGAAGCAACAATAGTATATTCTTCTCCAAGTTCCATAGTATAGATCCTGATTGAAATTTGTTTTTTTTTTATATTTTCGTCATGAGGCTTAACATCATTTTTTTTTTCATTTTAACTAAACTATATTTTCATTGCAGTAAAATATTTCTGATAGCTTTGACATACTTATTTGTCGAGTGGTGGCTATAATACATTGACTGTTCCACTCCAAACGATAATGTTTGAACTTGAATTTTAAAAGATTTTAACTTGTAAAGTGAGAAAAAAAAAACATTAACATCTCAGACAAAAACCAATGCAAAGCGGTAAATGTACCGCACTCGTTTAATTGATCCAAAATAACATGAATATATAAGTTCTGAAAACTTTTACTTGACAATCACAAAATGATATAGGTTTTGTTTTTATTATATATCTCGATTTTTTCTACAGAAAATTTTTAAATGTTTTTATTTAAACAAAAAGCAGTATTTTTGCGATTATGAATTTTATTTCAATGTGTAAACTTATTCATTTAGAGTATAAATATTTTACCATATACAAACTATTAGAGGTGTTGGTGAGTTATCAACTTATGTATAAAACCTCGCATTACCTTGATTAAACCATTTACATTTTCTTTAAATTAATTCTAGTTTTTTTTTTCTTAACTGAATAATTTAATTTGTTTCCGTAATGCCAAAATCATCACCAATTTTCTAGAAATCCCATATTATTAATAAAAATTTTTTTGGAATTCTTCGAGCCGGCTTATCTTTTTGAAGCCATGATTTCTTGCGTTCAATATTGGTGTATTGTCCGTAGTGACGATGCGACTTTTTGTGCTAACTACGACAGGATGAACAAAATGTCGCTTAGTTGGCTACAAAAAAAAAATCGCATTATATTTTAATTTCAATACTTTGATCTTTATGATTTGAATATTATAAAAACCGAGAGATCCACTTTCTTAAACAGTTGCATATTTTTATCGCCTTTTCATCATTATAGGAGAGCTTTCATAATTTGAACTTCAATGAAAATACCAGGAACCCATTATACTGATAAGTGATTACCAGAGTGTCGTTTACATTAAATGTCGAAGATTTAAGCGACCTCCTAAACCACTTCAAGACGGTTACAAACGATAGTGCTGCAATGTTTTTTGTTTTCATCAACTTCAACTAGCTTTTAAGATTGCATTTTTATCAAAATCCATTAATGAAATTTTTGAAAGAAGTTGGAATTGCCATTCTGCCAGTACTTCTTCCATTCAAAGTAGTTTTTGCTTTTTGATAGTAATAAAGCTAAATATGCAGAAAATACTGTTTTCTATTTTCGATATTTGATGAAATATCGAACAAAAACTATTGGGCAAGTTCTTACCTTTAAGGCCTTTAACTTACAAATTAAAAAGTAATATCAATTTGTTATATCGGCTGTCAAATGCAATACAATTTAAGTGTAGAATTGGATGTAAAAAAATGAAATTACTTTTTGAACAAGCCAGTAGTAAAATTTTTTCCAGTCACCACATTAATTGGATTAAAATATATATCGCTGTGTAGAATGCAAGCCAATTGGGTCTATTGCTTCTTCATTACAACTAAAATTGATAAAAAAATTAAGCGAATGTTTTTACTTTAAAATTTTTTATTTATTCTTTAAATCTATTTCATCGTCTTCAAAGTACCCGCTTTCAGATGCAATATTCTTGTGCCAACTGATTTTCTAATTGTAGAACCCAAGTCGATATTCAAGACAGCTTTGGAATTTTTTTGTATTCAATCATGTCGAAATGGTGTACCAGGTGCGGCCTTTTGAGCTTAGGGGATAGGCAGATGTTACACACTGTTAAATAATCCGAAGACGATAGTTGAACGATATGTGTTCGATGACTGAAATGACAGAATGATCTTTATGCATTTCATCGTATCTTGAGAGCCAGAAATCAGTATTTGACAAATTTTAACGCGATAGTCTGAGTTTATCCAAATGCAAAGTTAACCGTATCAGTCTCGACGATTTTTGAGCATCAAATCTTTTGTTTCATTAAAGTGTTGTCCATCAGTTATTGCTGATATGCATCTACTGTAATTTTTGATTTCCATGCATTTTCTGCATTTTTATAGTGTTTATATTTAAAAATTTTACATTGTTTTTGGCTACAGTGGTATATAATAAATAAATATTCTTTTTCTACTTGTTTATTATTATTTCCATTTTAAAGCATATTAATTTATTATGTTCTTAACAATAACTCGTCGAGCTTTTTTATTTTGATTAGCTCAGGATCTTCAGCCTTAAAACTCCTTACATGTTATTGGGACTTCTTTTAGATTCTAGAGCAGACTCCAGTCCAATTGGACCTGAATCGAAATTTCTCAGAACTAACGAGTTACTTGCCGTCCATTCTCGGACGATTGAGCTTAATTAGCGATAACAGATGTTATTTATCAAAAACTATTGTATATATTTTATATATACAATATATTTTATTATATATTGTATATGTAGTATATTTTTTATCCTTTCTAGCCAAGTTTCATATATTTTATTTTATACTATAAGATATATTAATTTTACCATTTTTTTATTTTAGTTTTCGTATTGATAATACGGATCATATTATAGACGTTAATAAAGGAAATTTAGCTTTTGAATTCGACCAAGTACACATAATTTGTCCAGTATATGAACCCGGCACATATGAGAATGAAACAGAAAAGTACATTATATATAATGTTTCAAAAGTTGAATATGAAACATGTCGAATAACAAATGCTGATCCAAGGGTTATAGCAATATGTGATAAGCCACAAAAATTAATGTTTTTTACTATAACGTTTCGCCCATTTACTCCACAACCTGGAGGTTTGGAGTTCCTTCCTGGAAATGATTACTATTTTATTTGTAAGTTAAATCTGTGTGTAGTCTGATTTTTACTAAATGATTTATTTTTAGCAACTTCATCAAAAGACGATCTTTATCGAAGAATAGGTGGGAGATGCTCTACAAACAACATGAAAGTCGTTTTTAAAGTTTGCTGTGCATCAGAAGAAAACAATAAAACAAGCACTTCCTTTAATCATAATCCCGGCTTAGGTGGATTTAATCACAGTGATCATGGTAATACTCTTGCTGGAAAAATTGATGTTGATTTAAATAGTCCAACGCATATTAATCAACCTAACGTAAATAATATAAATAATGTGCATGCAGGTGTTGGAAATATTGGGAATATACCATTTAAGACTATAAGTGGTCCGACTGCTACTGCCATAAATACAAATATAGATCATTTTAATCGTATACCTATGCAACCCAACGGTGTTAATGTTATTAGTAATAATAATGGTGTAGGAAGTTTGGGCAACAGCGGTATTTTGCTGTCTCCAAATCATGGAACAATAAATATGATACCTTCAAGTGGTAATGGAGTGATTCCATATCAAGGCCAAATCGGACAGACAGGTATAAGAATTAATAATATACCACCAAACCACCATCCCTCTATTAAAAACAGCAATAATAACAACGGTAAGTTTATTAAAATTAATTCTTACTCAACACAAAAATAAAAATGTGTTAGATTTATGTTATTAATTTAGTCTGAACATTTAACATTATGTTAAACTTAACTAATATATCCTAATGTTGTAGAGTTTAAGTTGCGCAAGAATTTATTATTCAAATAGTGGGTGATTCTCAGAGTAAATCTTTTTGGTTTACTGATTGTCGTCGGATGCATGGTTATGACGTTAAATTTCTTTCAGTGATTTTTCATAATATATTTTTATTTTGTTGTACAGCTGTAGCTTCGTTTGTTGGGTTTATATTTTTAAATTTTTAATTGTAAAAAACTAACAAAACTTCAAAGTCAGAAATAGCCATAGTATACCATAGCTTTATACAATATTTGATTAACAGTATTCGGACAAGTTTAGTACAGTAATAGTTTTTTACCAATTTGAACAAAATTTGATAATAATGTGACGTATTATTTAGGAATATTTTTATTTGTGGCAATAATATATTTGCTGTATTTGGAATTTTAAATAATAATTTTTTCCATGGCTTTCCAAAAAGTTTCAGCTTGACCTCCTAATATATAGTGGCTGCACTATAGGCGGCTTCCCTTCGATCCTAATACGTAAAGATTTTTCAATAAGTTTATTGAACTTAGTAAATTTTAAACATTGGTGCAATGTTGTTTTCTGAAAATTGAAAGCATCTTATTTCTTTTTGAAAATTCGTTGCATGTTTAGTAACGGATATTTCTGCAGATAATAACTCCGATAACGTTTTGCAAACTGACGATTTTATTATAATACACTATGGTTCAAGAAGACAAGATTTATTCTTATTGATTTAAAAACAAAGCGCTCGCTTGTAAACAATAATACTAGCTGACTTATAGTTATCTATCTTAAAAATGATCACTTTGAAGTCGATAGTTACTGAATTGTTTTCAATGCGTAGTATTGCACTTTTTAAGTACTGCACATTATTTTAAATATATGGGTTAAGGTATAGCCACTAGAAATGGTTACTCAAATAAACCAATATATTCGTAATATAATCCAATCGAAGGTATTAAATATGTTACTAATTGCAATCGAGAACTGCCAAGAGTCATAAATTCTATTCTTAAACTGCATTCATAAAAAGAAAGTATAAGTGCTTATAAGTACTTTTCTTGTGCTACTACTCGCTTTCACCACGCAGTTGTTTTTAAATATTTGCATTAATGTGTACCGGTGCAAATGATTATTTGAGTGCAGAGTACAGAAGTACAGAATGAATCAGTGGTCAGTTTTAACATTTTCAACCAAGTTTTGTACCACTTTTCCGTAAGCCCTGTTGTTGATTGATGTTTTTTATTCTCATTGTATTTTGGTATTATCCTTTTAGTGTGCGTTGTTTCGCTAGCATTTTGTTTCTATATTTAAACAAAAATACTATTATAGATTATTGTATGGTCATATATATTTTTTATTGAAGTAATGCATTTCAGTTAATTGAAAGGTTGAATTTTTGCACTCTAAAATTTTAACCACACATACAGAAAGACTGATGCTGTGACACAAATAAATTACACAAAACACGTTTGATAATTGTTTATGTACTTTAATTACTTGGAATAAAAAAATAATAAAATAAATAATATTAATAAATATTGAGTTAAAGTATGATATTCATAAAATAACATTTGAAATCAAACCAGTTTCTGACAGTTCGTTGATGATCTTCGCTACAAAAAGAAAATAAGAGAACATACTCAAAATCAAAATAAGTCAGACCCCCGAAAATAAATAAATAATGGTATTCACCCCCAAATAGATGAAAAACGGCAACGCAAGTCGAAAAATAACAGCTGAGCAAGAACGTGTATGCACGCTATTAAACAAATTTAGGGCTGTTTAATATGAACGCTCGTCAAAGTAGCATAAATCTTAAAAGTGGTTCTTTATGCTCTCTCGAATTTATCAGACATCGGAAGGTCTGAAATAATTATCTACGGGGTTAGGTATTTGAAGTGTTATCAATTACATACAGGTATATCTCTCAAACTGACATTGCCAACTATGTGAAATTCATATAACAAGAAGACGAATAAAACATCAACATCACTTGAAATGGTATGGAAAGTGAAGGCTCGACTTAAACGAATTCCACGATGTAACAATAATCAAATGGTCAAAGAACTGAAAATATCCCAGCGAAGCATCCGACACGTACAAGTTCCAAAAGCTCCAAGATCTTACACCAAAGCAACAAAAAATAAATTAGAAAAAGCAAAGGAGTTGTTACGTTGGCCCGAACGTGGCGTATCTCCAAAAATTGTGTTTTCTGATGAGAAAAATTTCTTCATTAAGCAGTTCATAACTCTCAAAATGATAATGTTTACTTAACTAAATGCGCTGCCGAAAATTTGAAACTACGAATGTCCACCTAAAGTAATTTTCCAACTCAAGTAATCGTATGGGCAGCTGTAATCGCCGATGACCGCTCTCCAATCGTTTTTGTCGAATCTGTTGTCAAAGTCAATGCGACTTATAATCGGGAAAATGTTTTGGAAGTTGCTTTAGAGCCAACAAGACTTGGTCTCAGAAAGTTCGTGTGAACCAAGAATGGTTAAAAAATCATGTTCCACACTCATTTCGCCACACAATTGCTTTCAAACTCGCCAGATCCAAATTCGATGGATCATTCCATTTGGGCCATTTTGGAAAACAAGATGAGGATTAAAAAATAATCCAGTATGAATATGCTAAAGGAAGCCTTTGTTCAGGAATAAACCAAAATACCGGAAGATCACATTCTTGAACTTCAATCGCCTAACCCTGTATAATTTACAAAGATTCTTAAAATCGAAAATTCTAAGCCTAGTACCAACAACCAAGATCAAGAGCAATCAGACACGCTAAGTCAATCATAGCTAAACAATCTTAAAAAAAACGATACTATCCAGCATTAGGAACTGGGTAGTCTGTGGCATCCATATTAACCAGATTCCCCTCACCATACCAAAATTGTTGACAAATTAGGTAACGAAATACTATCACGTTAGCGGAAGCGCATGGCTGTGGTTCAAGAATTTCGTCAACGCTGTGCAGATCTTAATAGGGTACATTGATTAGAGCTACACAACATCTAGTATGAATATTTCGCATATCGAACACATCAAAAGAAGAGATCTTTATAGTCTAAGAAAACTTTTAACAGTGATTGAAGATTTTAAACTGTTTTGATTAATATAAGACAACCAAGAAACGTTAAACGGAAGAGAGGAACCACAAGTTATAACTAAATGAAACAAGAATTCATGATGCTAATAAAACATGTCATAGACATAGTTAACAACGACACCTGGCAAGAGCCTCCACAAACTGCTAAATTTTTTATTGTTTGTTAGAAATGTGTCAATATTCGTATTGTGGACTGTTGACAATATAATTCAGGACACATATACAAAAAAGTTTACAGCCATAGAGGATATTCGTGACAGAGATTCGACTCAATGGACAAATACTAGAAGTTATACAGGAGCATCAAGAAATTTTATCAGTGAAACTCTACCCAATTCTTTTGGCGCATAAATGCAGTAAGATTTTACTGCAACGAATACGTATGGCAGATGGAAGTGCTAGAAGTATCAAGAGAATCTTAATCAAAATCCAGTTAGACAAACAATTAATATAAGATGATCTATTCATACTACCGGAAAGCATCGAGTCTATACCACAAAGCCTAGATTTCTTTAGAGACACAAGCAAAACTATTTGTATGGGTGGCATTAATGATATTTCATTTATTTAGAAGCAAATGTACGCTCATATATGTTTCCAGAGAAGACAAGTATGGCTTGCAACGAATATCATACAACCGGCATCACACCAAGTTAATCTGTTCTGGTGGATTCAACAAATAAAATTTTAGATCATACCACAGTGGATAATAGTTAACAAATTCTCCTAATAAATAAAACATATACTTTAATTTATTTTTATTAAAATTGACTTATAAGCAAAAGCCAATTTCAAGGTTGCAACTTCATATTTTGTTTTTTTTTTCCACATGGCTATATGCGCACCAAATAATAAATCGCTTGCACCATATATGCGACTAATTTAAGTTTTAATAAGTTATGCAAAATTCATACGTTTGCTATTGCATCATTAAGCATTTGGTAATAAAATGCATTCTATTTGATAAGTCGCTATATATTAAAGCTTTTAAATGAACTTTTTTAAATGTTTTTGTTTTTCGAAAAGGATTATGTAAAATTGTAAATTAGTTTTTATTTTTATGTAGTCCTAACACGTCGTTCAATAATGTGTGTGACTGATACATAGATGGCGGCACTAATACTAAATAAATATTTTTTTTCGAAAGTGGCAACCTTTTTAGGCTTACTGTCAAAATCATATGTTAATCCGACCATTTGTTTACAAGTTACAGTGCTTTAAGTGACGCTACTTTTGAGTTTTCAAAAAAAAAAATGAATTCAAAGCAATTCCGTGTGCTGATTTATCATTGTTTTTTAATGAAAAAAAATACTGTTCAATGCCAGGAATGGCTTGAAAAACATTATTCGGACTCTGCTCCATCAAAAAGAAGCATTTGTTATTGGTATGCCGAATTCAAACGTGGTCGTACAGACACCGATGACATTCCATCTACTGGACTACTCGGCCAAATGACGCTGTTATTCCGGAAAACGTTGAAAAAACACTGAAAATCATTATGTCCGACCGTAAAGTGAAAGTGAGGGAGATTGCTGACATTCTACAGATATCAGCAGGCAGTGTACACACCATAATACACGAACATTTGGGTATGAAAAAGGTGTTTTCCAAATGGGTGCCGCGTTTGCTCACACCGGAGCAAAAACAACAACGAATCGATGATTCAAAGAGCTGTTTGGACATGTTTACGCGCAATAAGTCGGAGTTTTTGCGTCGGTACATCACGATGGATGAAACATGGATCCACCATTTCACTCCAGAGTCAAATCGGCAGTCTGCTGAGTGGCATGCAGCCGGTGAAAGCCGCCCAAAGCGACCAAAGACGCAGCAGTTGGCTGGCAAGGTTATGGCGTCTGTATTTTGGGATGCGCATGGAATAATATTCATCGACTATCTCCAGAAGGGGAAGACCATCAACAGCGACTATTATATAGCGTTATTGGAGCGTTTGAAAGACGAAATCGCAAAGAAACGGCCTCATATGGCGAAGAAAACAGTTTTGTTCCACCAAGACAATGCACCGTGTCACAAGTCGATGAAAACGATGGCAAAATTGAACGAATTGAGCTACGAATTGCTGCCGCACCCACCGTATTCTCCAGATCTGGCCCCCAGCGACTACTGGCTCTTCGCAGACCTCAAAAAGATGCTCCTTGGTAAGAGATTTGGCTCAAATGATGAAGTAATCGCTGAAACTAACGTCTATTTTGAAGGCAAAGAAAAATCGTTTTACAAAGGCGGTATCGAAAGATTGCAAAAGCGTTGGAATGATTGTATCTCCCTAAAAGGGGACTATGTTGATGAATAAAAACGAATTTTGGCAAAAAAATGTGTTTTAATTAGTTAGTCACACATTATTGAACGACATGTTACATATAAATATCGCCATGTTTCGAAGTTTGTTTGACTTCATCCTCAGGGCGGAGTATTATTACAACTGCTTTTGAAAACATGCCCTACATGTTTGGAATATTTATATTGGAATTTGTTTACAGATTCAGTTTTATATAATAAATAATAAATTAAATACTATATAATATATAAACAATATTCAATAAAAAATACAAAAAGATTGTAGTAATAGCAGGGGTAACTGTTGCTGGCATTGTCACCATTCATAGTTCTGTCTATGTTTTTTTAGTATACTGAAAAACGAGTCTATTCATGACAAAACCATGAATACGAAAGACGATAGTGATAACATCGACAACAGCTACCTACTACAACTAAAACCTTGATTGTATTTTTTTTTGTATATTGTTTATATATTGTATAGTATTTAATTTTCACATACGCTTTTTCAAAAAACAAAAACATTATAGTTAGTAATTTTTTAATTTTAATTTACTTCGAACGTTGGCCTCCCCTGCTCAATCAATACATATGTAATTAGAAACACTTTAATTTGAGCTCAATTCAGATGTCAACCAAGATTCTTGATACCAATAAGATTCAATTACCCTTTATCTTTCTTCTAAATAATTTATTTTTCTAAACAAAATTCTGTCCCGAAGATTAGTTTAATGAGATCTTTTATATATATATATATGTTTTTTTCCTTTAATCATGTTAAAAACTGCATATTTAGAAAAAAAAGAAATGTGTTATGGTAGTGAAGTCAATAATCATTTACAATTTATTCAATTAAATAGTCAAATCATTAAAAATTCAATTAAATATGATAAACATTTTTTTTATAAATTCGTCGGTAGTTTTGTTATTTATAAATAATTAAATCCAAGAAATAATTTAAACGATCTTACTGATATGTATTTTGGCAGTATTCGAAAGAGCTGCAGTGATCATCCAATTCGTTCTTGCTCTATACTATGATTACATTACGAACTTTAGTGAACGAACTTTGCTAAAGTTGATTCAGCGTTTACATTATCGTTTCGGGTTTTCATTTTGACAGTTGCTATTTTTGTTATCGCTTGTTTACATTTGTTTTGATACTTGATACACTTTGATACTTGTGAATATTGTGTTTGTTTACTATATATTTTGATAAAATTTATGTATCAAAATATAATTACATTGCTCTGCAGTGAATCTGCACAACAAAATAAAGTTCTCAATAATGATTAAATTACATACGAATAAAGCGCCGCAAAATATTGCAATCAATAGCGGCAAATAAATATAGAACATTTTACAATTTCTTAGTCTAAGAAAAATTGCATATAATGAACAGAATGAAACAAACCTAGCAAATAACAACAATTTTATTAAAAACTTGTAAAAAAGTTTAAAATATCAAAAATGAATTTGTAAACTATTAATGACTTTCATTAAAAATCAATTTCATTCAGAACTATTCATCAAATTTTTTTATTTTGGTAATCCAAATTCGAGATTAAACACTGTAGTAATAAAAGAAAATTATTTTAATAACAAAAGTTTCTATAAATATAATTGTTGTTATATTTCCTTTTTTATATGCAACTTTCTTTATATAGGTATAGAAAGTTTCTTTCTACTGATCACCGCTTGCATTCAACTTATTGTAAACAACTTAAATGTAAACAAACAAGAGTGTAAACAAAACGAAATGTCATTTCGCCCTTTTTATACTAAAAATGTATCGATAACGCATTAAATTCAGCACTGTATTCAGGAAAAGGTATTAAATGAAGCTAACTTTCGGTCAAAGTTCGAGTTTTGTTGTGCCTATTTTTATATGGCAAAATCGACTTTGATTGCTGGTTTTGCGCTTAAAGTCGATTCCAGCCAGCAAAGTTCGTAATGTAAACATAGTATAAATCATAAGTTTTGAATAATTTTTTTATTTAAATTTGTTTTGTAATGTTTGAGTTTAAATAAATTGTAAATAGTATGACTTTTTTTTTGTCTCAATCTATTCGATACAAAACATTAAAAATTTATCTTATACGTACAACAGACATAAAAACTAGAAGATGATGTAGGCGTTTTATTTAGCAAGTATCAAAAGTGGAAATTTACAGCAAATCTATTTGCTTTGTAACTTATTTTAGTGTTTATAGTAGTTTTTTTCAGGGTTGAAAAATAATTCATAAATTGATAAAGAAGTAGATAGTATTGTACTTACATCTGACACGACTTTCATTTAAATTTTTCACGGATTTAAAAAAACTATTGTCAAGAGAAAACGAAAGATACTTAAAATGTTTGTTTTTTTTTAAATTATTTATATATATTTACTATAACCAAATATTACTATATATTAGAATAGTTATAATAATTGTAAGTAATTGTTTTATATCGATGTATTATTTAAAGCAATATTATTTCATGTATTTTATTTATTTAGATGAACACTACGATAAACATCCCAACGAAGTTGTAAAGAACGAGGAACTCACATACAGCAGCAGTGGTTCAACTATACATCGTCAAATATTAATCTTAACATATTTTAATGATTTTATTAAAATGAAAAATGTTTTTATAAAAAAACTTGCTGCATTAAATATTGAAAGAAAACATTTGATTTATAAACATTTTTCTAACAATGTATTTATACCATACCAGCAGTGTTTTTTTAACGCATTACTTTCACACATTGATAATATTATTTCACATTTTCACCTTATGCTATTAAGTATTCTGTTTGCTTTTATATCACAATATCTTTATAAGTTTAATATTAGGTCAATAATATTAAATAATAACAAAAAAAAACCTTTATCAAAATCAACAATGAATATAAATACAAGTGCTAGAAAATCAAAAATTTCGTCCTATTTTAAATTAAAAATTTTTAGTAAATTTTGCAATACTGTTAGAGGCAATGAAATCACAACATTTCGGTGAAGACTATAATATTTAAAAGGCGTTAATTATTATAATTAGGTACTTTATGTATTAAGTACTGTACATAAAAAATAATATAATTTGATAACATACTGAAATGTCATATAATTAGATGTAACACCATAACTATGACTTAATATTTTAATGTAAAAGTTTTTTTCTGTATTTGGGTCAATATGATAACAATTGTGTTATATTTAAATGTATTTTTTAAGAATTTTATATGCAGAAAATTATTTAATTGTATGTAACAATATAGATTATTGAAAAACTATTATTTTACATAAAAACTTAAGCTCCCAACTTAAAAAACAGTGAAGTAAAAGTGTATGTTCCAAATATTGATAAATATGGAAACAAGTAATATTTTGTAAATGAATCTAATTAATCTATGTGAATATGTGAGTTTATTACTCAAAACAAAAATACGCAATAACACTAATTATATAGTTATTGAAATTTGGACGCCATGTTCATTATATGAAACCGTTTAAAGAAAAGAAAAAAAACAAATATTTTTGATTGCATAATAGCGTATAAATGTACTTCAGACATTTTTAAATGAATATGTGCAGTTTCAATAGATTTATTATTGGTACCGGTACTGGTACTGGTACTGGTAATTGATATAAATGATTGCAAGACGAATTTGTGTTAACAGTAAAATTCATTTCCATAATTTTACAAAAGTTCAAAAATCTACTAATGCAGAAAATATTTGTTTTACTTTATATTTAGGAAAAATCACTTAAGTAACATTTGTAGTGTAATAAACTATGAAATTAACTAATTTATTTAAGATTTTAAGTTTTCGAAATATATTAAGTAAGTGATAGCTCTTAATGTATTCCTTATGCCTTTTTAGTGATAATTATTCAATTGTAAAAAGCTTATTTTTTTTTTTTTTGTTAAAAGCCTATTTGAAATTAATTGAATTATTAAGATTTCGTTCGAAAAGAAATTTATTAGAAATCAACGAAAAAATGCCAAGAATTGAATTGTAAAATTTGAAATAATAAGGGTATGTCCATTATTCGAACGGAATAAACGTTAAAGGTGATTTTGTGGTCCAAGAAACGAAAAGATATGACTTCGAGGTGTCTATTTTCAATATTAACTGAAACACATAGAAAAAGTCTGTACGAAAATTACCTCAGTATGTCAGAAATCATTTATCCGAATAAATTACGTTACAGTTTTTTCATGATTTTAAAAGTTATGATTGTTCAATGTTAATTTTTTATTCATCCTTATCTCAAAATTATTATAGTATTGTTTTTGTTCGATTTTTGTATAAATTCGTTTTTAATGTTAACTACATATTATTTATTTTCGATAAATCTAACTACTTAGATAAGTGTTCTACTTGATACTAAATATTGGTAAATATTGGAAATGGACTCTTCTTAGTAAGGTTTTTTTTTGTTTATTTCTTAGTCAAACAATTATCTCTAACATTTATGCAGTTTTAATACGGAATAAACTGAGTTAAAGTAAACAATTTTTTTGTAATAATTTAAATGTTATTTATTAAGAAATTAAGTTTTAGCTTTCTATAATTACAAAAAAAAAATTAAGCTTGTTTTATGTTTTGACTCAGCAAAAGTTTTGCTAAACTAAAGCTTTTAACTTGCAAAAAAGTTTGGCAACTCATGAAATTCCGAAGTTTTTGCAGTTGAACAGTACACAATAAAAAGGTTGCCACTGCAAAATATAAATTTATAACTATTATGAGATATCAAATACAAAAATTGTTACTGACTTAGAAAAAGAAGTTAAACCAATAAGTAATATTTTTCTCTCCATAAAGAATATATAAAATTGAACAAATGCCGCTTGCTTAATCTGTGCACATGTACCGAATCTGAAATACAAATGAAATAGGTGCTATTTATATACGTCTATAGCATCCGAAATCTGTTGCAAATTTCGTATCTACTTGGTCATTTGTGCACCATAATCAATTTTTTAAGTTAAAATCAAGTTATCAATATGTTGTAGATTTAGATATCATAGAATTCATTTTCAATCAGTAAATATCTAATGTTTTATATACTTAAGAATAAAAATACAATACTTTATTAATCTAAATCTTCTAGCAAATGCCTTGCTTTAACGCAGGTGCGGGTAAAACATTTAATACTGAATACATATATCAATGAGATTATTTTAATATCAGGCACATATTTCATGGCAATACAATAATTGTCAAAGTATTTTTGTGGCATTATTAATTTATATTAATATTAATATTTTGAGAGCACTGCATGAGGTTTTCGCGAAATCTTCAACATAATTTGTTTGTGCACCGTTAAGATATATTCAAATCTATATCTGGATTAGGGATGTTTATCATCATCCCTAATCCTAATCCAGCAAAAAAATCTAATATTTCATATTGTAGATGCAAAGTGACAGTAATGAATGTCATATTTCAAGGTATGAAACATCTTTTTATGCATGCATCATTACGCATTTGAAGAGTGGCAAAACATTATGACTAATTACATTTTTTTTTACATATAATGAATCTCGAATATAATTTCCATTATCAAATATAGTAAGGCTTTCAGGAATATTTGTTGTAGAAGTAATTTCTAAATAATTTATTAATAATAATTATAAATTAATTAATAAAAAGATTTTAAATATTTTTAAACTGCCATAATAATGACACTTAATTTAATAATTTTTTTTGAAAGTGTTGCACAAAATTTAATTACAAGCGTTTGTCATTTTATGACTACCGAATACCGAAGTTTTTGCTTTGATGTAAAATATTTTGTTGTTCGAAACGGAAGTTCGAATCTTTTCAGAGTGTTTATTGTGTTCCGATTTCAATATAGGCTTTAAAACATAATGCAGCCAATCTTGGGAAATTATAGGTTTCAATTTAGTGATATGCTAAGCAAGATCACAAAATGAAAAATTTTATTTTATTTGACTAATCATTTGTATTCATGGATTAAAAACAATTATTTAATTAATTTTTTGTATAATTTTAGAACTTAAAAAATAAGTATTGGTCCTTGTTTCTGTATTTAAGATAACCAGTTTTAAAAATGTGTGTTAATATTTTACAATATATAAAACAACTCGTAATAATTTTTTATGGCTCACGTGCGATTATGCCTTGTCAGTTAAAATTTGCAATGATTTTGTTAACTAAAGTCAGAAATGAAGAAAAGTATTCTGACAATGGTAAAGTCTGACATCTCGAATATATTTTACAAATAGCTTATAAATTGTTTTTATTCTCTTGTGTCATATGACATAATTTCATCTGACTTGTAATATCTTTTATTAAACCTGATAAATGCATTCTAACTATTTCTTCTACAAATTTTAAACTAGTGAAACAAGTAAACAGAACAAATATTTTTAACAATTATAAACTATAGAAATACTTAATATATTATATATAATAAATTTGAATTCATGACTTCATTTTTTGATGAAAACAATAAATTATGTTATTTTTAATAACTAATTTTTTTTTAAATAAATAAGTTATATTATTTAAATATTTAATACATTATGTAAGCAATACATTTAGTTATTAATTGTTCAATTTGGAATAAATCTCATATAATGCTAACATTAAAGGCAGTTTTGCAGGGTATTATAGAAACTGTAGAAAGTTCAAGTCGAATGATTTTTTTAATTGTTATCACAGTATCTGACCATAGCATCTAAAACAGATTTTTACATGTCAGATAATTTAATAACAACTTACCTGAATGTATCAATTATTTTAAAAATGAGAAGTTGTTACATTATATAATAATTAACTAATTAAGTTAGCCATTGAAAATGACTCAAATATTTTGTTTTTAATCGTATTATTAAAGGCTTCGTATGAAACAAAATAAAAAACGGTCGGTTATTTATTTTATATAATTTTTTCTATATAAATATCGACGATGTTTCGAAGTTTTATTGTTTTTTTTCGCAAATCGAAGCATAAATTCAAATGATAATGAAAACATATAGGTATAGGCCTTTTTATACAGAAACAGTAGAACAGTTTTAAATAATAAATAATAAAATTATTTAAAATGTCATTTGTAAAAACATTACTGTACCGATGTAAATAGCCCGCTGTATATTTTCATAATCAGATGTTAATGTGTTCCGGCTTAAGGCAGAAGTCAGTTAAACTTCGAAACATCGACGACATATATATTTATAAAAACGAGAAAATAGAAAAAAAACAATTAACTCTTTTTTAATTAAGTTCATTACAAGCTTTTAACAATATAAATAATGCTGTTAAATAAGTATTAGGACAAAATTGTTTTTTTATTTATACAAATATAACAAATTGATGACATTAATGATAAATAGTGAACATATATACCCACATATAAGTGTTAAGAAGCAAAGTTTAAATGAGGGCATCAGTATAAAGTAGTCTAAATAAATTGCCTTATGTCGTTATCGATTGACAAATCTAGTGTAATGCCGTTTTTGATTGGTAAATCTGGGGTAACTTTTTGAATCCAAATTCACTTTCAGTGCAATTTTTATTTTTGATTTGTAAACCTCGAATTAAATTTATAACACTGGACATTTTGCCAGAGTAGCAGAATTCCTCGAAGAGTAGAAGCTTCCTCTGGAATTAACTGCTGCTTCATATGACTTGACAAATAAAGTTGTGATTTAATTCGTTATATGTATTTTTGAAAAATATCGACTAATTTTACTACCAAAATGTTTGATTACTCCAAAAATTTTAGATTGATTGTGGCAACAAAATTTGAAACATCAATAGGAAATCTAAATTAAATCCAGATTTGCCAGATTTGACAAAAACCCCTTAACTTTTCACCCTAGATTTACTTTTAGTACAGTTTTGCTACAAAAATTGAGCAAGAAATGTCAGACCGAGAGCAAATCTAGATTTGCTAATCGAAAACGGCATAAGTGTCAAGATCTTTAAGTGTGGTTTTTTATTTGTTATTAAAATATAATGCTGTCATTTATTGTACTTAAAGCACAGGCAATACGCGAAGAAAAATAAAATCTCTGCGACATAGAGAAAAAAAAAATAAAATAAATACCAGTGATGATATCCCCCATAAAACATTTTCAATATTAATAAGCACATTCAAAAGATCAAATTTGAATTTTTACTTTCAATCCTTCTTACTTTATGACAAGAAGTTGATTTTTGATTCGTGAAACACGATTTAAAATTTTAATGTAAATAATAATTATATTAAAGAATTAAAAAAAATTTGGTGAGATATCTATTTCTATAAATTTTACTCATTTATTGCTCCAACTCTGTGCTCTGATCCTTATGTTTATCTCATTAAGAAATGCTTTTTGAGTTCGAAAGCGATGATTATATTGTAATTTTATTTCCTAATTTTATACATTGATCATGTACAGTGGCGTAACTACATTTTTTAGGCCTGTAAGCAAATTTTAACTAAGGGGCCCCTACCAACATACTAAGGGGCCCCTCTTTTTATACTCTTTACACGAAAAAATGTAAAAACGGTATATAAGGTTTGTCAAGATTTTCGTAACGCATTAAAGGAAACTTCGGAAATACCATTAAGTATATATCAGTATACTTTTACAGTTCAAACTACTCTCTCAGCTTTTGAACTCTTCGAATGAAACTTTATACACATACTTTTCGGGAGCGCACCCTGTTCACCATTTGATTTGATTGAAATTGGACGTCTATTTCTTGTAGCTGTGATATAAACTTAACAATCGGATATGAGGTTTCTCCTTTTTTAATAAGGGTATTCAAATGGAATATGTTGTATACAGTACTGATATTTGCAAAAGACAACGTACAAAATTATTTTCAAATGGGTTTAAATTTAGATATAGCTTCCATATAAACTCTCGATCAAGACACATATTTTTCTTAGAAAAACTTTTTTATTTCATAAATAGGTTTAATATTTTATTTGAAGTACATACATATTATGTACTTTAAATTTAAAATTTACGTATCTTTTATAAAATGCAATATGAAATTATTCCAACAAAAAACGTTTCGTCCCACTTTTGAGAATTTATTAAAAAGAAATACAATGAATACAAAAATTTATAGTGGGGCCCCCTAAATTCGGGGGCCCGAAAGCGTTGCTTCCAGTTGCTTCCCTGTAGTTACGCCACTGATCATGTATAATTATATTCATTAACTTTAAATTAAATAAATATTTTAACAACTTTGAAATGATTTTCTCAAAATAATTTTATATAATAAAATAGTGTAAAAATACGAACAGTTTTGTTGTGTACTCACAACTTTTTGGCCGTCAAAAACTCAACAAATTAAATTTCCGATCTCTGTTTTAAATTATCAGAGAACAACTTCTGCCTGCTGGCAAAATAGTAATTTTTGTATTTACTATATTTGCTACTGGTTCAAAATGTTATATAGTGAATTATAATTATGACTAGAAATTCGACTCATTTATGAATATAATAAATGGCAAATAGCTTAAAGTGGTTAGTTGTCAGGGGCAACTTTCAAATGTTACATTATCATCACTTCTCGTTAATTATATACAGAGTGTAGTTAGAGTAGTCTTAAGTAATATTTAACTTGGTTTATAATAAACGAATTCCTTATTACTTCATGGGTTTCATTTCTCCTAATAAAAAGAATATGTATCTCTATTATAAAAAAAAGGAATATGTGCCGTCGTACATTTATGGCGTCATTATGTTCGCACTGCAGTTTTTTCGAACCTCTGTATGTAGATTTTTGCTTCACTTCGTACATGCTATTTATATATACAAATACATATTGTACTTGAAGAGAGCATTGTTGCAATTTTTTTTTAAAATAAAAATTTAAAACTTTCTTATTAACTTTACCATTACTAAAAACTGAACTAGAGCGCTCTGCTCATTGTGGGCTTCATTCGTTAATTCTCGTCATATTCATACGGAAGAGTACCTTCCATATTCAATAATATGTATGTGCTTTTTACATTCTCTAGAAGAGAAATCTAATTTTTTAAGAACTTTAGAACTAGTACAAAATTTGATGTCACTTCTAGAGAAAGGACATACATATTGTCGAATATGAAGGAGTTCGTATGAATACAATGGTGGTTGGCGAACGTAGCTCCAGTTACATACGTTCTGAAGGTATGTAACTGGAGCTATTGTAACTGGTAACTGCAACTGGTATATATATGTATAATATATTATTTATAATTTAATTGTAGTACACATATTATACATATATACAGAATATATATGTATTCTTTTATTAAGGTGTACAAAACCGAAAAAACCAAAAGTTATTAAGATTTGATATAATATAGGAAATATAGATTATAATAATTACAATGCCGGAATGAACTAAGCGGTTTAGAAGCGAAGGTGGATATTTTCTTATAAGCATTTGGCCCAAAGATCATATCACAACTTTGCTACATATTTAGTAATTGTCAAAACTACATTCAAAAACAATGAATCTACTACTCAGTGAATCTCGAAAATATGTTCGTTATGGTTCGTTATAAGATATTGCGACTTAATATGCTTGAACCGGCGGCAGGAACACATAAAACAAAAAATAAAAATTAAACAAATTTCTGTCGTTATTTTGTGAAAAGAAGGAGCATTAAGAAAAACATGAATTTAAATATTATATGTATTACTTTTGACACAATTAAAATTACAGTTGATTTTGTATTTATATACATATATATATTTAGTTTATACTAAAACAAGAATGTTTTAAAGAACAAAACTCTTTAAAAATATATGTGAAAATATTTACAATGCATACATTTCATAGCAAAATTATAAAATTACTTTAAATGATTAATGACATATTATCCATAAGAAATATAACACTAATGTTAAAGAATGTATTACAACGCATGGGTAAATTGAATTCAATTTTTTATTGGTGGCAATTAGTAGTAAGGGTATATACATAATATTTGAAAAGTCATTTTGAATTACCATATACTTAGTACAGAGATGATTTATTTAAAAGTAAAACAAAACAAACATTGCTG